CTTAATGGGAGAAAGGGAAGGGGAGAAAGAGTATTTATGGGAAAACATTTAGGAAAGCTAAATGGGCCCCTAGGAGAATAGATGGTACATATGGTAGTTTTGGGACTGTGTCACTTCAGGTGGTCTCGTATCCAGATGGTAAGATTGCTTCCCTGCTTGTGAATACGAAGAGATGATTTATGACAGTTGAGTTTTTGTGGGGGTGGGGCGGTTGGGGGGGCAGACTCTGCTGTTAGACAGATAAAGGGAGTTCAGGGAAAAGCCCCTTCCTGCCTCCATTGATTCTCAAATGCCCACAGCTCAAAATAATTTTTATGCCCCAGTGGCATATTCTGAACTCTTTCACCGCTAGAAACAAACTCACTAGAAATAAACTGAGGCCATATTCTAGATCCTCGTCTGCATCTAGAGCATCACAAAGTACAAGTTCCAGCACCTGCCTCTTGAGCGCTTACGTGGTTTCCGGGCCGACTACTGTTCCAGTAAGTGTAAGATGAGCCTTGGATATTTAAAATATCACCTTACTCCATTACCACATACACCCTTGGAAGACTCCCCCTGCTACACTCAAGCACAAGTCTGGAAGACTCCTGAGGGCTAAGTTTGGGGGGAAACCTCAGGATGGAACAAGGAGAGGAATAGGTTTATACGAGCCTGACGCGCTGTTGGCATACAGTAGGAACACACACACACACACATTGTGAGTGGTCGAATGGCTCCATTAAAGTGGTGTTGAAGTCCCAGTGGTGGAAGGGCCTGTCAGGTTCTTCCTGCTGTGAACTAGGGGCTGTGCGCACAATTATACACACATGCTGACATCAGGGTGGACTCTCAGGGGAAGTTAAGATGTGTGATCTGCACTCTCATGCAAGGTCTATTGGGGCAAAGGAGACCCTCTGTGGATATCAGGTGTCATGCCAGAAAAACATCACACCCAGCATTTGTCCCAGATGATGTATGACTTCAGGATAGACAAATCTCCATGAAGGGCAAGGTAGGTCAGGGCAGGACAGAGTAACAGGAATGAGTGAGGAACTAGTCAAATGCCCACATTCCATCTTGAGTATTGTATAATAAGCTGGAGAGCCTCTGCTGTTGTGGACGTAGAGTTCACTCACCTTTGCATGCTTCTCACTGACAAGAAAATTAAAACCTGCCACTTAGACTCTTTTAATCCGACTATTGAGTGGAATTCTGATTATCCCAAGCTTGTGCGTGCTGTGTCTTCTCATTTCAGTCATGCAGGGGTTGGTTTGTTTGGCCAAGCCTAGATGGTTGAGTAATCTGTGGTCTTGAGGTCAGAACTCACTCAATAGGGTGATCCAATCAATAGGATCTTGACCAAAACTAAACAAACATCTACTTCTGGGAGGAAAGGCACTCCAGCCCCCACTCTTACCAAATAGTCATATGATAGAGAAGTACACGAGAAAATATACTCCCCCAAAAATACCTTAGAATTTGTTTTTTGACAAAACACTGTAGAGCGTGAACTGTTGACTTTTATCCATCTTTATGTTGGTGCTATTATATGTCTGCTCTTTCTTTGAAGACTGTCCTTGGTACTTCGTTAATATCATACATCCCACATTGTGAAATAAGTAAAACAATGGGGAAGTCATTTTTTTTGCAATGGTAATTTGCTTTCCCATAAAAGATAATGAATCTGAGCATTTTTCTCCTAAAGAAATGGTTGAAACGTAAGTTGGCCATCAACTGGCAAATAGAGGGAACAGTTTCGAGGGCTATACGGCCGGTAAGAACTTTCATCTTCAAAATAAGGTATTAAGTCTTTAAATAAGTCTTTGCCGTTTCAGACAGTCAGTCAGTCAGTTAACAAATATTTATCAGTCTACCATAGGTCAAGCGCTGCGGTAGGGCTGAGGTACACTGATGAACAAGGCAGATAAAGACCAAAGAGGGGATTTAGACAGAGGAACAGGGCAGAGATTCGTGTTTTCAATTCACTGAGAATTATGTGAGGCAGAGTAGTCAAGAATGACCTCTCTGATGCAGTCTTTGAAGTCATTAAGGACAAGGAATACCGGTGTGGGCCGGGGGGAGGCCAAAATGAACCTGGATAGGAACGCTGGAAGTCATTGCTAGGTTTTAAGAAGGGAAAGGACAGAATTGTGCCCGCACAGGGTGGGAAGCGGGAAGCAAGGGAATGCGTCTGCATATATCTTGGAGGAGACGCAGAAGGCTTCCATACGGTGGGAGTAGATAGAGTGGGAGCAGATAGATTTAGCATATATTTTGAAGTGGAGTCAACAGGGCTTAAAAATAATTTAACATGGGGATGGAGTTGAGAAAAAGAGAGGAATTATCCAGGACGCCTATGTTTCTGGCTTAGGATCATTTCCCTTAGTTTATTTCCTTTAAGGCCCTTACCACAATTAAAGAGACTTAAGCTGTCACCTCGTTAATTTATTTTGTTTATGTGTTTATTCTGTCCATCTAGAATAATCCTGTCCAATAGAAAAGTAATGCAAGGGGTGCCTGGGTGGCTCAGTCATTAAGCGTCTGCCTTCGGCTCAGGTCATGATCCCAGGGTCCTGGGATCGAGCCCCGCATCGGGCTCCCTGCTCTGGGGGAAGCCTGCTTCTCCCTCTCCCACTCCCCCTGCTCGTGTTCCCTCTCTCACTGTGTCTCTCTCTGTCAAATAAATAAAATCTTTAAAAAAAGAAAAAAGAAAAAAAAGAAAAGTAATGCAAGCCACAGATGTAATTTTAAATTTGCTAGTAATTACATTAAAAAAGGTGAAATTAATATTAATGATATATTTTGCTTGATTCAATATATCTAGAATATTTTTTCCAACAAGTAACCAGTATAACACCTAATGAGAAATTTTACAGGTGTTTTTTTTTTATTGTATTAAGTCATCAAAATACAGTGTTTATTTTACACTGAGAACACATCTCAATTCAGATTACCACATTTTAAGTCCTTAAGAATCACCCGTGGCTAGTGGCCATATGCTGGATAGTGCATACCTAGTATGAGCCACCGAGGGTGCATCCATTCAGTCTAGTTCACTGTTATTTCCTGCAACTGAAACATTCAGGGGCATACAGTGAGCACTTGATATATTTTGAATGAGTCCATAAATGCCTGGTTTGGGGGGCCCTATCGGAGGCAGTCATTTTGGGGGTGGGGATCAAAGCTTTCATTTTGGATTCGTTCAGTCGGAGATATCTGTGAAGCATCTAAGTAGAGAAGTCAAAAAAAGAAGTAGATATGAGAGTCTGGGACTGAGAAGATCTGGGTGCAGAGGTAAATTTGGCACCTTGATGGGTCCTCAATCCATAGGAATCATGGTGGATTACCTTGGGAAAGAGCACAGAGAAAAGAAAGGGCCTAAGACCTTACCCTCAGAGATACCAACATTTCAATGTTAAGTGACAGAAGAAGAAAATCAGGGAAGTGCGGTGGTGCCAAGAAATCAGAAGAGTAAGTGCTTTAAGGAGAAAGGAGTGGTCAACTGCTGAGAGATCAGGTATTTAAAAAAAAAAAAAGGTAGGCGCATTGAGATCCTAACAATGATCCTGCCACACATTCTACAATCATGATCTCTTTTAAGCCCTCCTTATAATGCTTTGAGTCAAAGAGAGTTTTTTGGGGGTCTTTTTGTTGTTGTTTTGTTTTGTTTTGTTTTTAGTATAAAGAAATTTGGCCTCCAAAAGGTCAAGAAGCCCAACTAATTTATGGAAGAACCAGATCTAGGCCCTAAGACTCTTGGTCCAGCAATATTTACAGAACATATTTTAAAGCACTGGGAATAACAAGAAACCATGAAGGTTTATAGAAAAAGCATGACTTATCTGTGACTTCACCAGGTTTAGGTGTTTTGAGAATAAATGTACATTTGGCATCATCTTTCAAGTATGGAACTAGACCAAGATTACATGATCGGGATATCTTGTAAGTTTCCAAGCGCCTTCTGCCCTTCATTCATAACACCTAGAATTCTTACCACACTGTTCCTCATAGGACTCGGTTTCTCAACTTATCTTAGGCAATGCAGTAATACTGCTTCTGCAGTGCATTAATGTAAATTAATAACTTCATTCAGGAGAAAGATAGTCTGCAGTTTTCAAGTGTGTTGTTATAAGTAAATTAAGCTTTCTTTGCTGCCTTTCAAAACACAGAAAGAATGAAATGATCTAGTTTAAACTCTATGGCTAAGTAGTTGCATGACCTTGAATAAGACTACCTTTCCTGTGCCTCACTGTTCTTATCTATGGAACAGGGGAGTTCAGTCAGAGGATGTCTAGTTCTTAAAATAACATGCTTAATGTTATAGTTAATTAGGGTTAACTTTGTCCAGATATTGAACTTCCAATTTAATCAGTGTGTGAAGATCATCCCAAAGGAAGTCAAGAAACCTAGGAATGAATTCCAAGGGCACCACCAGGTAGACATGTAATCACGGGACAGGGAATAACCTCACTTTCCCCGTATGTTAATGGCATGATAAATCTGATCATCTCTCAGGGTTGTTTCAAGGACTGAACCAGGTAAGGTATGTTTTATCATCTCTAAAGTAGAGAAATTAGAAGTGTAAGTACTGTTAAAGTGGATCTTTGAAACACTGTATACATTATTACTCCCAGCAAGTACCAGACTCAGTCCCCTGTTACTTATCATTAGGGCCATTACTTTTGTTGAGTTACAGGTTATGGTATTGAAATATGCTCAGTGTGAGAAAGGAGAAAACTGTAGAGTCTGGGTATCTCCACAGAGCGCCCATCTCCGAACGTTTACAAGAACATAATGGGATACACCAAAAAGAAACGAGAAAGAAAGGGGGAAGGAAGGAATTCGCGAGCGGAAGAGAAAGGCAAGGCCACGTTAGGGAAATAAAAGGCGAGTCCGGAGAAGTAGCAAGGATTAGGAGGGGAAATGGGAAGGGCAGGGCAGGAACGGGAGCCAGTTAGACCAAGGACAAGGGTGGTGGCGAACGAGTGGCCAGTCCGGCGACTTGCCAAAGCAGGCGCCCGGCGGAGGAGGGGAACGGGAGGGTGGGGCTTGGCGAAGGGCAAAGGCAGGGCAAGACTTAAAAGGGGATGACCCCAGCTAGTTGATGCCACCGGTGACTTCCAACGCCCAGGGCAAGGGGACCCCACGAGGGAGCACGGCGGAGGCAGCCCGCGGGCTGGCGAGGCAGGCGCGCACACGCGAGAGGGAGCCCCGGGGAGCGCCCGGCAGCCGCGCCGCCATGTGCGAGCTGTACAGCAAGCCGGACACCCTGGCGCTGAGGAGGAAGCACATCGGGTGAGGGCTCCGAAGCCGCGAGGAAAGGCGCAGAGGGGGCAATAACTAGCGCAGGGGGCGGGGAGCTGAAGCGGGGCAGGTGGCCGGCGAGCGGGAACGCGCCGGGGCTGTGGCCGGCGGGGCGCGTGCGAGACGCCACCGCCCACCCGCGCCGCACCTGCGCACGCGCGCCGCCGCCCGCCCGCCGCGCCTCCGCCCGCGCTGTCCTCGCGCTCCGCCGCCCGCCGTCCAGTGGGGGCTGCGGGCGGCGAGAAGAGCTGACCCACGAGGGTTAATCGCCCCAGGAGGGGAACTCCAGTCCGGGGACGGGCGCTGCGAGGGAAGATGGGTAGCTCTCCGCCGAATGCCACCAACTCGAACGTTTCTCCAAACTATGAACTCAAAAATATTTTTGACAATGGCTATGAAAACGAACTAATTCTGACAGCTTTTGCTTAAAGTGAACTTTTTCTTCTTGCATGCTTGGTTAGATAAAGGGTTAATCCAGGCAGTTAAAAAAAAAGAAAAAAAGAAAATCCTTAAAACCACTTTCTTGGGGCGCCTGGGTGGCTCAGTGTGTGGGATGTCTGCCTTCAGCGCAGTCATGATCCCAGCCCGCATCGCATGGGCCTCCCGGCTCAGCGGGGAGCCTGCTTCTCCCTCTGCCTCTGCCTGCCACTCTCCCTGTTTGTGCTCTTTCTCTCTCTCTCTTGCTCTCTCTCTGTGTCAAATAAATAAAATCTTAAAAAAAAAAAAACCAAAAACCCACCACTTTCTTAAGGGTAAAATGCCACTTACCCACCTTGGTCTCCCAAGCTGTGCCCTCATTACAATTAAAAAGTGCCGTGTTCTCTCCTGTCTACTTTTGTTTTGCCCGTGTTATAAACGCCTGGGTGAAATACTGGTAAGCGTACAGAAAGCGTACAGAACTGAACGTTAAGTCTGACCTGGGCTCTGGTCCTAGTACGGTATCTCGTTACCGGTGTGACCTCTGTCAAATTACTTTAATTTCCTCTTCTGTGGAAGTAGGAATAGTTTTCTGCTTCACGGGAGCGAGCAAGTGAGATTAGTAAGCGGGATCTGGTTTTTAAAAAGGCACATGTAAGTATCAATGATGATTGTGGCCACTGGCAAAGGCCTGCAATAGTCACACTTAATTAACAAGCAGTGTCGCTGGTGAACAGAGAGAGGACTGGGGGGCATAAAAAAGAAAATAACTGGTATCCTCTCCTGAGAAATGCTGGGCAGCTCCTCCTACTCATCTCCTGGTCTCAACCCGGGAGGTTTCTAGATGGGCTTTTAGGAGACCGGTTGGAACTTTCTCATCCCTGCGTAGGGAAAGCCAAAATGATCTGATCCCTCCCTCATTACCCAGTCACCCCTTGTCCTTTTCTAATCACCACTCCTTTCTGTTAGTTTTCAATCCCACGTAGTTAGATTCCAGTGCAAACCCAGTGACTTCTTTTTTTTTTTTTAAAGATTTTATTTATTTATTTGAGAGAGAGAGAATGAGAGATAGAGAGCATGAGAGGGAAGAGGGTCAGAGGGAGAAGCAGACTCCCTGCTGAGCAGGGAGCCCGATGCGGGACTCGATCCCGGGACTCCAGGATCATGACCTGAGCCGAAGGCAGTCGCTTAACCAACTGAGCCACCCAGGCGCCCAAACCCAGTGACTTCTAACGTGAACTGAAGAAATTCTGTGAAAGGAGGAATGTAGCCATAGACAGCCTGAAAGAATTTTACCTGAAGTCTGAGTGGCGAGGTGGAAAGTACCCTTAGCAAGGGAAGGTGAAGTCTGCAGTTAACAGCCCACATTCATGACAAAGGTTTTCTTTGGCTTTTAACTCAGCGGTATAAACTAACAGCTGGGATTGAACCAATAAGAAATTCTCATTAAATATTGTTTTGATTTTAACTGATGATGCTTAATCTGAGGCAATTTTAAATTAAGATTACATATACACAATAATTAAAATACTTTCTAAACAGTTGCTTATCAATTTAATATACAAGCATCCAGTTACCCTCCAAAATAACTCCAATGCATGTGACATTTTTTTCTGTGTGTGCATGCAAAATCACCAGAATAAAAATAATATATTCCAGGGATGCCTAAGTGGCTCAGTGGGTTAAGCATCTGCCTTCTGCTCAGGTCATGATCCCAGGGTCCTGGGATCAAGCCCCGCATTAGGCTCCTTGCTCAGTGGGGAGCCGGCTTCTCCCTCTGCCTGGCGCTCCCCCCTACTTGTGCTCTCTCTCTCTCTAACAAATAAATAAAATCTTTAAATAATAATAATAATAATATATTCCATTTTAGTTTCTACGTGTCCATAGGACCAACATCAGAAAACTTTGTGATGTTTCTATGTTGCTAAAATTTATATTCCAGACATTCATCCAAATAACCAAAAATATGGATGACTTTTTATTATGTTCAAAATAATGGATTAAGAGGTTAGAAGAATAATTGGATTTCATTATTTAAGAATGGAAAAATCCATTTGATACAGGACAAATACCACTCAAAAGACTTGAAAATGGTCTCCTATAAAATCTTTTGTAGTATTTATTACCAGTTTATTTGCATTTAGCTTTCAGTGCTATTCATTTCTTTATCAATTAGATTAGAAGGAGAGAGAGAAAGCAAGCAAGCACTGTCTTGGGCTGTGGTATAGGATAGTCTATTTTCTTTTTTTTTTTTAAGGATTTTATTTATTTGACAGAGAGAGACACAGCGAGAGAGGGAACAGAAGCAGGGGGAGTGGGAGAGGGAGAAGCAGGCTTCCCGCGGAGCAGGGAGCCCGATGCGGGGCTCGATCCCAGGACTCTGGGATCATGACCTGAGCCGAAGGCAGACACCTAATGACTGAGCCACCCAGGCGCCCCTAGGATAGTCTATTTTCAAATTCTGGTTTTTTTCATTTACTGGCTGTGTAATCTTGAACAAGTTTCTTGATTTTTCTGTGTCTCAGTTTCCTCACCTATAAAAATGAGAATGATAATAACTTCTATTTCATAAGATTATTGGGAGGATTAAATGAAATGATTTTGTAATATTTGTCAGTTCCTGACACATAGTAAACCTCGAAAAAAAAAAGTTTGTTTTGTTTTCTGGTAGAACAAAACTTCCCAGAAGAAAATTAGTTATTGGTTTGTGTAATTAGAGTTTTCAGAGTTGATCCATGTGCCTCTAAACAGAGTTGTCAAATCATGGCAAATTTAATATAACAAACATATGAAATGTGAGGAGTGTCACCAATGGGGGGGGTTAAGGTAAAAGGTTCCGGGCTAATATGAAATTAAAAAAAAATAACGTATGTCACCCAGGTTGTGTTTTCCCTTTCCTTTATGTAACTGTAATTTTCCACTGATCATGACCCTCCTTGAGAAGGAAAAACACTGAGCAGCCCTTCCAGACCAAAGTGTTTCCTTTCATTATTTCTAGACCCTCATGCAAAGTTTTCTTTGCTGCGGATCCCATCAAAATAGTGCGAGCCCAGCGGCAGTACATGTTTGACGAGACAGGTGAACAGTACCTCGACTGCATCAACAACGTTGCCCACGGTAAATGTCCTGTCTCTGTAGTGCTGGGAAGGGTACATTTGTGGAGTAGGGCAGACACAGCACCACTGATATTTGCCCCAGGAGGTGCAGTAGCTGCTGTTCCTTGGCTGGATGGGGCCAGTAGTCCTAGCCCGGCAAAGTTACAGCGCAGTGTGGGAGAGAAAGAAACTCAGCCTTTTTTTTTTTTTTCCCTTGCTTCAGAATCCCCATCACTCCGGGAATTTAGAATTATAATTCCTTTTTGGGGTTTTTGTCTTCTGAATTTTAGTGGGACACTGTCACCCAGACGTGGTCAAGGCTGCCCTGGAACAGATGGAACTGCTAAACACAAATTCTCGATTCCTCCACGACAATATTGTGGAGTATGCCAGGCGCCTTGCAGCAACCCTGCCGGAGAAACTCTCTGTTTGCTATTTTACAAATTCAGGGTATGTTTCCAGGTTTCCCACCCACCCCCATTCCCACCAATCTTTTTTTTTTTTTTACTCTCTCACGCACACCTTTCTTCTTGATTCCTGGGGGAGCCCAGACATCTAAGGTTTCCTGAGATTCTTGTCATGTACTAAGTGACCATACGATGGGACCTTGATGGTTCTGGTTCTTCAGCTTTACTTCATGAGCTTGTGGTCGATAGGATACCCAACAGCGTTTTCTAGAGGTTTTGACCCAGCCACTGATGATTAACATGTGCATGCAACTCAACTTCTTATTACCATGGCTTCCTTGGTGAAAGATGGGGAAAGCTTACCTAGCATGCTTTAGTATCCCTGCAGGTTAGATACTTGGGTCATAACCATGGCAAAAACATCCAAGCCTGGGGTTCATGTGAGAAAACCTAACCCGTCAAATAGCCCTCACCTCCTCAGGAAGTAGAGTAAGTAGCTAAAGAGTCAATGGGCCTACGTAGTTCCTTTAAGGCATGAATGAGGGGTTTTAGCAAAGGACGAATTCTACTAAACAAGCTATAACTTTTGTAAGACTTTTGATTGACTTGTTTCTTAGGCAATTTCCTCAACACAAATACAAAAAAGGGAGGAGTAAATTCAAAAGAATAGATATGTCCCAACTTTTAAATTCTGTAAATTCAAGTTATATATCCATTCTGTGGAATATTATGCAGACATTAAAAATATGTTTTTGGACATACACATCTAATGACATGAAAAGCTTGCAATGCAACGTTATATTGGGAGGAAAGCTGTGCACACGGTGTACACTCATATTTTTTAAAATTAGGTATATGTATAAATGTATTAAAACTATTAGAAATTCTGTAAATGTTTGATTATATGATTCTGTGATTCACTTTCATCTTTGCAATGAGATTTTAAAACCAAATTTATAAGGAGAAGATCGTCCCTTTTTCTTTGTAAAGAATTCAGGTATTTTAGGATCTACCCTATTGTTATAAAGCATTTTTGCCTTCAGTAAATAAATGCCATAATATTTGACTTTCACTTCTAAAGAATCCTGTACTGTCAAAGAGGGATTGCCCCAAGGAGCACTGTCACCAGAGACTGAAGGTGATAGAGCCTGGGTTAGGACAAAGAGTAATCTTGAAGTTAAATAGACTTCAGTCTGAATGCTGGCTCTACCTCTTATTAGCTGCGTGAACTTATTCTGCCTCCTTAACCTCTCTGAGGTTCTTTCTTCATCCATATAAAGGAGATGGCAACCCTTGCCTTGCAAAGGAGTTACGAGAATAAATGCAAGCAAAACCCTCAGCATGATGTCTGGCAGATAGTAAACATCCCACAAATGATTATTTTCTTCTTCTGTGTCTGAGTTGTATATATAGACTATCTAAGCCAGATAGAAAAATTATGATCTTTATTTTGTCGGTAAGGAGCTGATCAAATATTGGGTCAGGACAACATAGTTTAGTGGTCAAGTTGACGGGCTCTCATGCTCCCCTTCCTCCCTTTGAGATCTGGCTTCATGGGGGCTTCCTAACATCCTCCAAGTTAGTCACCTACTCCTGTAACTGAATTGGGCGGAAGTTTGAAATAAGCAGCGTATCCTTTGCATTGGGTTTCTTCCGTGTGTCTCATTCTTTATTGAAGACATCTGGGGAACTTGTATGAGAAGGATGAAGTGAGATTGCTGGGGGGGGGGGGGTGCAGACTAAAGGGGAAAGAGAGGACTTGCACTTATTTCCCCCATACATTTCTGGAAAAATGGGATCTTACAACTTTTGTAATTAACATTTGAAATATTTTAAAAAGAGCTTATGTCACCTTGACCCCTCTTTCTGTGATCTCTTAATAGATCTGAAGCCAACGACTTAGCCTTACGTTTGGCTCGGCAATTCAGAGGCCACCAAGACGTGATTACCCTTGACCAGTAAGTTTGGGACGCAAGACTTCTAAGCAAGAAGCTCTTTCAAGAGACAAAATGGTGTTGATCCTGTCCGTACTAATATTACAAGCACACGGGGAGGAGGGCGGATATATGGCACGATGATTTTATTATGTAGTAAGGTATCAAGGCCAGCTGAGGCCTGAAGGATACTTAATTCCGTCCAAGTTCCTGCAAACAGGGGAGGCTCTCTTGGATACTCTGTCATGGCCTCATGGGCTTTGCCTGAATCGCTATTTATTGAGCCACTCTAATGAGTAACTCAGTATTTTCCAAAATAAAAATATAATTGATTTCTTTAAACTCTCTACGTTCACGTCACTATTGTGACTACCCACTGTAATCATTTTAAAAGATAATAATTTAGAGCAAATTTAAAAAAAAATAAGAAACCCAAGTAAAAGATCGTACTTTCTTGTTAGTTTGAGACTATTACCAGCCATCATTTAGTCTCATCTCCTTAACATGAATTTAGTACATTTTAGACAAGAAAGCTGACAACCCCCGTCTTTATTAAGATCTTTTCTTTTAATTTTTTTTCTACCTTTGCACCCCACTCATCTCAGTCACAGAGGATTAAATTGAACGCATACCTCATTTCTTGCCCTTTTATAGGCTTCTCTTGTTTTATGTGTCGGATCATCTCTTCATTTTCTATTGCTGCTATAACAAATGACCACAAATGTAGTGGCTTAATTACCACAAACGTAGTGGCTTAAGCAACGCAGATTTATTTCCTCACAGTTCTGTAGGTCAGAAATCCAAATGGGTCTTCACTGGGCCAAAATCAAGGTATCAACAGGACTGTGCTCCTTCTGGAGGCTTCTTCTGTTTGCTTGCTTTGCCCAGCTTGGAGAGGCTGCCTGCGTTCCTTGCTCAGAGTCCCCCCTTCATCTTCAAAGCAGCCATTCTGCCAGTCCTGCCATGGCCGCCATCCTCACCTCGATTCCCCTGCCTCTGACCACCATCCTCCTGCCTCCTTCTTTCACTTGTAAAGACTCTTGTGATTCCGCTGGACCCCCCCCCCCCCCAGGATTATCTTTCCATCTCAAGATTCTTAATTTAATCACACCTGCAAGGGCTCCTTTGCCATGTAACACATTCCTAGGTTCCCAGGAGCAGAATGTGTATTCCTTGCCCATTTTTCTATTGGGATTCCCATCTGTTTCTTGTTGGTTTGTGTTTGCTTATATAGTCTAGATCAAAAGATCTCAACATTGACTGTGCCTTAAAATTATCTGGGAAAAATTTATTTAAATGCCAATGCCCAGGCCCCACCCCAGACCAATTAAAGAAAATCAGTGGTGGGGGCGCCTGGGTAGCTCAGTGGTTAAGCATCTGCCTTCGGCTCCGGTCATGATCCCAGGGTCCTGGGATCGAGCCCCGCATCGGGCTCCCTGCTCGGCAGGAAGCCTGCTTCTCCCTCTCCCACTCCCCCTGCTTGTGTTCCCTCTCTCGCTGTATCTCTCTCTGTGTCAAATAAATAAATGAAATCTTAAAAAAAAAAAAGAGAGAGAGAGAGAAAACAAAGTCAGTGGAAGATCCCCAGAAACAGTATATATTTTTAAGTTTCCCAAGTGATTCTACTGTGCAGGCGGAGTTGAGAACCACCATTGTGAGCATTCATCTTTTGTAGTTTGAAACATTTTAAATATCTTTTCCCACACTATCATCTATCTTTTAGCTTTGTCCATGGTATCCTTCAACCAAAATCTTTAATTTTCATCAAATCAAATAAATAAAATTTTCATCATATGGTTTATGTGATCTAAGTTTTGTTAATATCTCTCCCCCTACACCCACCACACCCCCCAGATCACAAAGATGTTTTCTCTATTTTCTTCTACTACCTCATATGAAATCCACCTGGTGCCCACTGTGTTAAATTTATGTGTGGAGGTGTCCCTGAGCTGGCCTTCTGTCTAAGTCTTCTCTTTGTTCTCATGCTGATACATACTTACTGATACATACATATCATTCTGATACTTACTGTGGTGCTGTAGCATCTTTAATCTTGCTAAGGGAAGTCCTCTCTCTTTGATTTATCTATTCATGGGCTTTTTAAAATTTCTTTTCCAGATCTCCCACTTATGCCTCTGGGCAAGAAACAGAAAAGGGAATATTATAGCCACCTGTATTTTAAGCAAGCGAAAAGAATCTCATAGCCACTTGGTCATCTCTCAACCTTAGTTCTTCCTGAGGAGACATCCTGCTCTTACTAACTTGTATTTGCCCAGCATATGCAATCTGACATCCCATAGAAACCGTTCCGGACAGAAACGCAGCCCATTCTGTGATATAAGTTGTTTTAAAATTCACTAGAATGTAACTGTCGAATACATTTAAAGAATACTTAGTTAGCAAGTTTTCCATAAAGCTATAGAAAATAATTTTTGCATTTAGACAATCTAATTTAGCACATCTAATATCATCCTAAGAAATTAAGTTTTCTTTTCCTGCTTAAAAAAATTGTCTGTGAGGATCCATATTTGGTTTCCTATGTGTTTTATCACATGAATAAGGAGAACTGGACAAATTAAATGGCCAGTCTTGCCATGAAGAATTAGATCTTGTATAGTTAAGTCTGGCATTAAGGTTAAGATTCTCCTAGATGGTGTACACTACTGTTTTTCACATACTACAAAAACTTCCTTCTCTGAGTGATTTTGGTTCCTGTTCTTTTTCTTTCCAGTGCTTATCATGGTCACCTATCATCTTTAATTGAGATCAGTCCATATAAATTCCGAAAGGGCAAAGATGTCAAGAAAGCATTTGTGCATGTGGTAAGTATCTTAGAGTCCAAGAATCAGAAAGCTGCTACTGGAAGAATGCCTAATGATAATCCAGTCCAATCCTTTGATCAAAATGAAACTACGAAAAAGAAACTAAAATCTAGAGCAGTTACCTGACTTACTAAAGTCAAAAAGCTAGTTAATGACAGGATGTGGCTTAAAATCCATTGATGAGTATCACAAGTAGCAAATTAGTATGGTGGTAGTGAAGGCTATTATTCACAGCTATCATTTTGTTTTTCTTGCCTTTTGATCTTTAACTGATGCCGGCTTCAATTTGGAGTTGAATCTAGTGTGTATGAATGTCTTAAAATTACACTGTTCTATGCTAAAGTATTATGTAGAGTTATGAAGTAAAATAAATAGTAAAGAAGATAAAGAAACCAATCAAGTTGTTGAAATATTAAAACTCCTTTGGTTTAATTAAGGATCAGTAGACTTTCTTAAGTGAATCGTCAACTCCTTCTTTCAAAATGGTAAGACCTCATATCCGTGCTAAGGCATTCTCGTATTTGGAATGATCACAATTTGCTATATAGTTGGTAAGTGTTGGTTTATTTTCTGTATAGAATAGTTAATACAATTTTCATCCATTGAAATTTTCAAATACAATAACCACATTTGTCATTTGAATTTGCTCTTGATTCAAATAGGGATGTAGTCTTGACTTATAAAGGTCTAGGAGCGAATCCAAGCTCCTGTTCACAAATGCAAAGATCTTAGTTTTCACAGAATTGAGAAACGTTAAGGAAAAAGAACAAAAGAACCTAAGTCACTTAAACCGACATGGTCACCTTTCCAACATGCTCTTGTGGGGAAATGCCTTTTCTTTCTTTCTTTCTTTTTTTTTTTTTTAAGTTCATTTGTCTGAGAGGTAAATCTTGAGAAACTCTACCGCTTGGTTGTTTCCAGGCACCAACTCCAGATACTTACAGAGGCAAATACAGAGAAGATCATGCAGACCCAGCCAGCGCTTATGCAGAGGAAGTAAAGGAAATTATTGAAGAGGCTCATAACAGTGGAAGGAAGGTGTGTATTTACAGCTTTGGAAACAGCATAACGTCTTTTATAAAGTGGATCGAAATCACTGTGACACCTTGGAGAGGTGGAAAAGGATTAGATCTCCATCCCCTTTCTGTTTTTCTCTGCTTGCTTTTCACTCGATTCATATCTCAAAAAGTGCATTATTATGATCATTCCTCTAAGACTATCTGTTTTTATTTATTCTGGAAATGCAATCACTATGCCTGTTCCAGAACTGGTGGCCTAATTTCTCACTTTCCCAGTGGGTTGCAGACTCTGGCCCAAAGGGGGAGAGGGGAGGGGGGATTAGGAAAGGCCCATGGACAGACTCTTCCAGATGAAAGTAGCATTGGCGGGGGGGGCTGCTATATGAGGAAGGGAAGGGAAGAGGCACAGTGGCCCTGGGACCTCTGAACCAGTGCAGGTTCCCGGGCCCAGGAAGCCATGCTGCTTCCCTCAGACTGGTACAACTTTCCCGAAGCTGCAGAGCTTGGGTTAGCCAAGGCAGATGTTTCTCCAACCTGAGCCTGGGCTTCGAAGACAGAACCAGAATCTTCCAGAGTAAGAAAAAAGAGTTTCCATTTTCTCGGTCTTCACCCTACTCTCTTCAGCCTAACATAAATTTTCAGCCCGTTTGGGGGTTATTTATGTGGAGTTTTAAAGTGATTTGACACATGCTTTGCCTTTAAACTGGCTTATAGCATCAACAGGGCAATAAAATAAAAAAAAACTTAAACTTTTTTTTAAAGATTTTATTTATTCATTTGAGACACAGAGATACAGAGAGAGAGAGAGAGCTCATGAGCAGGGGCAGAGGGAGAGGGAGAAGCAGGCTCCCCGCCGACCCAGGAGCCCGATGTGGGGCTCGATCCCAGGACCCTGGGACCATGACCTGAGCTGAAGGCAGACACTTAACCACCCAGGCACCCCCCAAAAAATCTTAATTGAGATAAAAATGAAGCCTTTCCTTTTTCCAGTGCAGATACTTTTATCTTGGTGATTGGAGAGCCATTTGCGTTTCTTAACTGTTTTCTTCCCATCCCATTCATTTTTCGTATCTTCAGACGTCACATCTGTGCAACTAGCCCTAAGAGCTACCTGTTCTGGGGACCTTCATATGCTTTTCTTCTTCAAGGGTAGCCCATCCCTCCTTCCACAAACTGTAAAGAGTGCTTCCAGAAAAAAGTTTACATTACTGGGCGCCTGGGTGGCTCAAGTCATTAAGCGTCTGCCTTCGGCTCAGGTCATGATCCCAGGGTCCTGGGATCAAGCCCCACATTGGGCTTCTTCCTCGGGGGGAAGCCTGCTTCTCCCTCTCCCACTCCCGCTGCTTGTGTTCCCTCTCTCGCTGTCTCTGTCTCTGTCAAATAAATAAAGTCTTAAAAAAAAAAAAGTTTACATTACCAAGATCACATGGTCTTCTTGCTGCCAAAAGTGTTCAGATAGCTTTTTGAGAACATTAGCATCGAGTAGTTACGGACCCGATGCTGTCCTGTTAACAATGCTGAAAGTAATGAGCAAATATAAGATGGATGCTTCAGAATATTAGATGTGCTTGAAAAGTCAGGGGATTTTAGAGAAGCAATCGCTTAGGTCCAGTGGCTTCATTTTATAGTTAATAAATGAAATATTTAAAAGTGAAGAACTTAAGCCAAGGTAATATAGTTCCTGAGATGTAGTCTGGACGGAAACCTCGGTTCTCTTGACTCCGTATCTCATCTTGTCTATGCTTTCTCTTCTTGATTTAGTGTTACCTATCTTCTACTCCTCCTTTCTTCCCCTCTAGAGCATTCCCTCTGCAATTCCTCTTGTGAATTGCCTGATTCCGTTAAGTCCGGTTCAGGGTAAGAACTAGAAATACAGCACAGTAACTAACCTGTGTGGCCACCAGTCAACCTCCCCTTTCCCGAGAGCAAATTCCAGGCGCAGGCAGTCCTCATCACCCCGCTGGGGAAACGGGCACCTCAGTAATGGGGTTAGAACCTGGGTAATTTTTTTAGAAGTTGATGTCAAAGACCAATCGTCATTCTTGCTCAGTTGATCCTAATGAAAACACTGCATTTGAATTAATAATGGAGAACCGGAGGTTGCTCTCTCTTCCATTTCTCATGGTAGTAGCACCGGTACTCTAGAATTTCAGAAACGGATGAATTTCAGATCAGTTGCTTTTCCAGCATGGACATCTCTTCTCTTCTTTGTCATCAAGTGGCCTACTTGCCACTTGCCACTTGCCACAGGCCCATTCCCAACCATTTTAAAAATAACCTGCTCTGTAAGAAGTCCTCTTTTTTAGGGGGCTCAAGGGGGACCTAATGGACTTTGACCCCATCTTCTCTTGTATAGATTGCTGCCTTTATTGCTGAATCCATGCAGAGTTGTGGCGGACAAATAATTCCTCCAGCAGGCTACTTCCAGAAAGTGGCAGAGTATGTACTTGACTTGGGCACTCTGGGTCAAACTGAAGGCTCTGTGACAGTTCTGCAAGGCCATACTGGTTAAAATGTTGAAGTACTTCCAGACTAGCTGGTAAATAGCCACTTCGGCATGCCTGCACACCAGGACTCCCCAGAACCCCTCCACCTTCCCAAGATCCAGCAAATAAAGGGTTTACACATGGTCCAGTGAGGGGTGGGGCCTCCGGGGCTCTGCCCCAGTTCCCAGCCTGACATCCTCTCTGGCTGGTGCCCACGCCTTACCAATGAGTAAACATTTGAAGATTAACCCTGCTAAACACTACTTCTTGTTCACGTCTTTCTCTTCCCACTTAAAATGCCACAGTAGAGCTTATTTGAAGCAGCACAAACCTGAATAATAAGACTATGTCTACTCTGGAAAGTATGTGATTATATTTCAAAGTCAGTGACATCACGTAGATGTCACTGGGGATTCGAGCACAGAACTGTTTTTGACAACAATTCCAGACCTCAAGTTAACAACATTTTTTTAAGTCCTCCATAATCTGTATCTTTGTGGGTGGGTTTGGGGACTCTCAGTGACCTGAAGACGTTAGACTTCCCTTTTGCTTTTCAGATACGTACACAGAGCAGGAGGTGTGTTTATAGCTGATGAAGTTCAGGTGGGCTTTGGCCGAGTTGGGAAACATTTCTGGAGCTTCCAAATGCATGGTGAAGACTTTGTTCCAGACATTGTCACAATGGGAAAACCAATGGGCAATGGCCACCCAATGGCATGTGTGGTAACAACCAAAGAAATTGCAGAAGCCTTCAGCAGTTCTGGGATGGAATATTTCAATACGGTAAATGTTGGCTTCCCGGTTTATGCTTAGAGGGAAAAATACTGTGTGTTCTTACACTTCTTGCCAATGTAGTAAAGAATAAAGAATAAAGTTCAGTATCGCCAGCTAACCACCCCAGGACTTTAGCCAAATTTTGATCTAACCATATTTCATTCTATCTGGCATAATTCTCCTTGTATTTTTCCTTGTGTATCTTTCCCCTTTCTGAAATGACTAATTGTTCCAGTGATAAATGGTTGCCTTGCTAACTCTAGAGGTTGTGATGTTTCATCCACAGATGATATGATCTTCTTTATTTTAGATCACATTTAAATTCCCCAAACATTTCTAAAGTGTTTAGATGATACAGAACTATAAATGTTATATGGCTGTCACAGGAGATACTAAATTTTCTATCTTTGGGAAATTTTCTTTCCTTGGTTTTACCCCCATAAGTCATGAACTTTAAGCTTGGAAAAATTATTATAGTTTATGCTGTGTGTGTAATAGGACTTGTGACAACTAAAAGTAAGATTCGAATCTAAGGACATAAATTATTCAGAGAAAATGTCATTGCTTAGCTGTTTTCACACAACTGTTCAGGGGCAGAAGCCCGTATCCCCCTCACTGAACCACACTCTGAAATTCTTAGTTCCCAAAGCAGTGTCTGGTTTTTGTTTGGATGAACTAACAAATTCCCTGATAGCCCTCCATACCAATTAGGCAGGATAGAGAATATAATTTGGGATGAATTTTTACTCAGTTGTAAACAAATAGAATCACATTATATTCTAAATCTAAAAAGTTTACAGCACAAGGGAAAAATTGATTGAAATTATAGCTCTACCTGCCTATGTATGAGCCAAATTTCTCATGGATGAAACAATACCACTAACTCAACTATTATGGTTTTTCAATCTTTTTTCTGCAGTATGGAGGAAATCCGGTATCTTCTGCTGTTGGTTTGGCTGTCCTGAATATAATTGAAAATGAAGACCTTCAAGGAAATGCCACTAGAGTAGGGGATTATCTTACTGAGTTACTCAATAAACAGAAAGCTAAACATACTTTGATAGGAGACATCAGGTATGTTTATCATGAACTTGTCATGTGCTTATTCATTTTTCCAATGAAAATGGCTTGAATTTTATCTTATAAACTTAAAATAAATTACATAAAACCAAATCTAGAAAACACTGAAAAACATAAAAAAAAAAAACCCACCTCATTCTTAATCCAGAATCCTGATATCACCACTGTTAACTTTTGGGTGTATATCTTTCTCAATTTTATACTTAAAAAAAAAATAAAGCCAATATAATTTCAGTTCCTGAAAGAGGAAAAGAAGGAACTTAAAGTAACTCTAAATGATTTGTTAAAAATTATCTAAAATGACATCCTGGAAAACTCGATGTTTTTCATAGATATATGTAAACATTAAACATCATCATTAATGTCCTAAGAAACTAAATAGCATAAAAGATTGTTTTTAAGATTTTTTCTTTTACAATTAAGTAAAGAAAAGAACTGGATGACAAAACCAACTTGGTTCAAAAACTGGAAAGTTCTGTGACACTGGATTGATATCTTGGATTAGTTAGAATCAATAACAGTTATGCCTACGGGGAATCATATCCAGCTTCGAATTAAACTGAAGTTTGGGAACAGTGTTAATATTTTATGACAATGCGATTCTAATAGAGCATCTGTCAAGTTTCTTTCTTTATCTTCTTCAGAGGCATTGGCCTGTTTATTGGAATTGACTTGGTGAAGGACCGTCAGAAGAGGACCCCCGCCACAGATGAAGCTCAACATGTCCTCTACAAGTAAGTGCACCCCCACACCTGACGGATGTCCCGGTTTGAAACATGCCCCTCCCCCCCTTGAAAGCTTCTCTTATTTCCTCCCATCTCTCCAAATAAGGGAAGTTGGAGATGCATGCAATTTATAAATGTGGGCTGCTTGCATGAGAATACTCAACTGCTCTATGTTCACACCATTCTTTTTTTTTTAAGATTTTATTTATTTATTTGAGAGAGAAGAGAGCACAAGCAGGAGGAGGGGCAGAAGGAGAGGGAGAAGCAGACTTCCCTCTGATCAGGGAGCCCAATGTGCCCCAGGACCCGGGGAGCATGACCTGAGTGGAAGGCAGACGCCTAACTGACTGAGCCACCGAGGCGCCCCTCTTCACATCATTCTTAAATAACCTTAGTTACCAGTTGTATGTACTCACGCATATTTCCTGCCCAAATTAGGATGAAAGAAAAGCGAGTCCTTCTGAGTGCCGACGGACCTCATCGAAATGTGCTTAAAATAAAACCACCTATGTGCTTCACGGAAGAAGATGCGAAGTTTATGGTGGACAAACTCGATGAGATTCTAACAGGTCTGTTCAAAGACATTTCAGATGCCTCCCCCTCTCACACCCGGTCATACATGATGGTGCGCGTTGTTCTTCATGACAGAATGGAAGGCGTTTGGAAATGAATGTGTAACTTTGTAGGTAGCACTAGAAAAAGCTGAAAAGTAATAACTATGTAGACTCTTAGTTAACTCTAAATTTTCTGTTTGCCCTCCCACAACTCCAGATCTGGGTTTTTAAGGACATGACACAGCCTTATTTTTTCCCTATTTTCACTTTTAAAAAAAACTGCATGTCTGCCTTGCACCGTGCCCCACAGATGCTGCAGTGTATAGGGTTTTAGCATTCTACCAGGGAAATTTGAGAAACATTATTAATAAAAATTACAGGATACAGGTAACAATTCTTTGCTATATGCTGAATCGTTTGACTTGTGTGTATATTTCACTTATTACATTTAACTTTTGAGGCTTTTTGTTTGTCATTCAGAACTATCCCTGTCATAGGAATTTATCTTTTGCTTACCTATATTATATAATTAGGTTCATTAGGTTCGTTTGGTTTTTTATTATGAGCATAAATTGAGCTTAAAAGGTAAACTAGCAAGGGCACCTGGGTGGCTCAATTGGTTGAGCGACTGCCTTTGGCTCGGGTCATGATCCTGGAGTCCCAGGATCGAGTCCCGCATGGGGCTCCCTGCTCTGCTTCTCCCTCTGACCCTCCCCCCTTTCATGTGCTCTCTCTCTCTCACTCTCTCTCTCAAATAAATAAATAAAATCTTAAAAAAAAGTAAACTAGCGACATAAAACCCTGTTGGAAAACATAACATACTGTCAAATGTTAGAATACTTTTGGTTTTGCTTTAGTTATATTTTTAACATTCAACTTCTTTGCTCCCTTCTCAGACTTTTGGGGGTTAGGATAAAGCTGATAAGCCAGGAATCGATATAGCATACAAAATAGATTGTCAGTGTTGGAAAACTTGAGAGTCAGCCCAAGTTATCTGTAGTACGGTCACTGTTTTTGGATTAAGATCACACCCACACCTGGCAAGCATTCCTCATACACCTGCATTTCCTCTGGTCCTCTGAAGGGCCAGGTGGAAGGAAGAGTATAGGATGGGGCAAGTCTGTCACCATTGCTTCAAAGGCATCTCAGAACTTGGGCATTAATAACAGTGGGCTGAAGAATTTCCTTTGAACAAAGGGAACGAGGCATACCTAACCCAGGTTCAGTGCCCCTTGTAAATGATAATGATGAAATGTGGCAATAAAAGTTTAAAAGCAGCAATTCTAATAGGGACAATGTTTTAAACACATTACATTTACTCCTCAGTTCTTCATTAAAGGTATTTCTAAAGATACCAGAAGGGTTTTTTTTTTTTAAGATTTTTATGTTGTTCTGTCTTCTCCATTGTATCTTCCTTGATGTAGTTTTAGAAGAAGCCATCGGAGTCCAAAGTGAGAGTATGATCTCTGAGAATTCTCCATGCAGAGCAAAGGTAAGAAAGAGTCTGCTACTCTATTTTTAGGGGAAAAGTTTAAAACTTTGGAAAATTGACTAAAAGGAAGGCAAATTTTTAAAAAGTTGTACAATAACCTTTAGAATAAAATCCACCTTTGCTGGGGTTGGCTTATTGTGGCAATTTTGAGTGCACAATTACATTTCAAAGCAAGTGTCATACTGTTTGAAAGAAATAAAGCCAAAGAACCATTCTTACAGGATCATTCCCATATTCCCCCAAAAAACCCTCAGGCCTGCCAAGGAAACCAGCAAAATATAGAGAGAAATGATAACAAATGTGCTCAGCTCCTTCCTGTCTGAGGGCCACCTGACACTGGCTCGGATTCCCATACATCACTCTTTAAAATCAGCAGAAGCCTTAGCAGTGTGGCCCCAGAAGGCCCGGGTTCAGTCTCGGATGGTGGCCGGGGCCTGGGAACCCTCTGGCACCGAGTGTCCTAGTTTCTGCATTTGATGTGCTTCCAGCAGAGGGCCTTTCCATTCTCTCCCCGAGCTGCCCAGGGTGTGAGAAAGCGCTCCCCGGCTCAGGAAACAGAAAGGCGAACACTCAAGAGGCTTTGTTGCATAATTTGCTATTTGTTTATGACTTCGATGCATAAAGGAACACTCAGTGCCTCGAGCCCGCCTGCACGTACGGAGCAGTCAGCAAAGCCCTTTTCCTGGTGCAAAAACATTAGGCTCTTTGAGAGCAAATGGTTTGCTAACAGGACTGCTTCTGTCTCTTGGTGGAACACAAACCAATTCTAAAAATCAATTCTTATCTGTAGTTTGAGATTCGCTTATCACGTCCAGGACAGAATCGTAGCTGAGAACTGAGCACGCATTGACAAGGAGCTTACAGAAGAAGGTAGTTCATGGGAAATCGCACATTGGAGTTGGTACACATGTTCCTGAAATTTTGGCTGGGAGTCCTGGATTTTATGTTGACGTTACATTTCAGATGTCTATGGAAGAGAATAGCCAGGGTTCGGGAGGACGGCGCAGCAGTGTAGTGTTGTGTGGGGCTGAGCTGCCCCACTGGCCCGCTGAGTCAGCCCCGCGGAGGCTGGGGGGGGTGTTGCGGCGGGGGGGGTCCTGGCCCGCTGCAGTCTATGCGTCTGTCTTGCAGTTGCCGAACGAAGCACACTCAGAACAGCTCGGTGACAGCACCTCGGACCCCAGGGAAAATCCCAGCCCAAAGAGGAACGGACTGTGCACAGATAAACATTCCTTGCTCAGTAAGAGGCTCAAGACATGAGAGATTAACACTGTAAAGCAGGACAAATGTCCAGGGTTATAGAGAATCATTGGAAGTGTCTCTTCCCTTAGCAGCTCTATCGTACCCTCTAACGGTAGAATTTGCATTCCATTTTGGTGTGTTAATAAAAAGGTAAGGGAGTGAAAAGAATAAGCCAAGTGATCATCAAACCATGTCAAGATGATTAGTTCAGCCTCTAGCCTGTTAATCCCTGACTTGAGATTTCTGAAAGTGCTTTATTTATTCTACTAAATTTATGCTTCAGATTGAAAATGAAGTTGGCAGTTTTACCTCACGTGTTTTAATGTTTGAAATGAGAGAGCAAAGCACAATAGGTTCCTTAATTCTGGAGACTTAGTGTCTTAAAATACTAAGGAATCATTCTTTACTGTTTTAATTTATATATATTTGGGGGGCTATAATAAAAGATGTTGTAAACCAAAACATTTTTACTAGAAAAATGTACCCTTCTTTTGCAGAGAGTATTAGGGCTGGTAAAATCAAAGCCATTTGGAAAAAATCACATACAGCAAGTGTTAAGAAGTAAGTGGATAAATCAGACCTCTGGCTGAGGACCAGGTTAGTCAAGATCCTGTGGAGTCGTGGTGGGGGCCTGGCGGTAGCCAGGAGCACAAAAATCAACTCAGAAGCACACAGACGTAGCTAGAACAGAGGCAGTAGCCAAAGCACTGTGTTCAGTCAGGTGACCTCAGCTCTGTCTACGTCAGATTGTGTCACCTTGACAAGTCACTAACCTGTCAGGTAGGAAGTTACCTTTCAACCAGCCATCTTCCTTTCTCATCAAGTTTATCAGTACCCAGCACACACCCCACCCCCAACCCCCACCCCACCCTGCACATGCGCACGCATACGTATGCGCGCGCACACACACACACACACACACACACACATATTTGTAACCAGACATTGGCCAAGGGAAGTGAGGAAATCTGGAACCTCAAGGGTCTCTTTGTAACATGCTGGTATCATGAGACATTCACTTGGAGGCCAATGTACTGAACTGGAAGAAACTTAACTTTTACTATTCACTTCCCATTCTGTCTCTATGGCCTTCCTAAGACTTATTAAACTTTGTATTTTGGTTTTTGTTCCATACAGGAGAGAGAATAATTTTGCTATGGCTGTTTCATGACAACTGAGAGGGATGTTGAGAGGGAAATTAATTGTAAAATCTTCCTTTCTGAGTTCATCATTAATTAAAATGCTGTTTAAAAAAACAGGGCCTTGTTATTAAGTACTTTTTCCTCCTAAAAATATCACTGACTCTGTGAGTTCTGGCTGGATAGTACTGAAGTTGGTTCCCAGGAGATGGCAAAAACGAGAGAGCATAGCGGTCTCTGTGGCTGGCTTCTAAGGGACAGCTAATCAGATCTTCCACAACACAGATCAACACCCCCACGAGTACCACTTGTGGGCAAGCTCAGACTGTACTTGTCCTCTTTTCTTTTTGGAGCAGGTATGTATGTTCAAGAGAGGAAGGAGAAAACCACCCATACCCGTGTTACAAGTTTTCCAAATATAAAATAATAGAAAATTAAGACTTTCTTCTTTGATATACTCCACTCTTCTTCGTTGCCTATAAGTTAGGTTTCCATAATGAGGAGAGATCTAGAAATAAGTGACAACTTCCAGAATGCAACAGTGACTCTGTGTGAGGTTCCTGGTAACTGCCGCATTTCTGTGGCGTCACAATCGAGGCTGTGTCAGTTCGGGTCCCCTGGGTCTCTAGATCGAGTCCCAAGATAGATCTAACACCAAGATCGCCGGGCACACAAGCGATGGACTAGGGGTAGCACCTGTGAAAGATAAAGGAGCAAGGAAGCAGGACTTGTCAGGAAAATCTTCCGGGTCTGACACATACGTAAAGAGAAGAGCCAGAGAGGAGATCTGAGTGGGAAGCACCTCAGACTGAGACGCAGCTCTGTGGAAGGTCTCTGCCAGTACGCTGGGGACCCACAGATGTGCATACAGAACTGCAAGCAGAGATGACAGGGCCCTGGGTGCCCCTACTGACTTCCCGCCCTGACAGGGAGCGCCCAGGGAGCACATACCCAGCTCAAATGTGGCTGTGATGCTGTAGCTGGAGGCTGTCAGCGGACTGCATTCCTCACCACAGGCTCCCTCTTGAAGGAGAGCTGAGCAGCACACCCCCCTTGGCTGCCATGGTCGGCCCCTTGTGCCGCACAGGTCCACTTTCCCACACGTTTGGGAAGTAACTCTTCAATGGTTCCTGTGCATCTCTCTTCCTCAGGGGAGACTTAGAATTCTGGGTGAGCTTAGTGGAGCAAACTACAACTCCTGTCACTGCCAGCAGTCTCAGGGCCACACCTGGTACTCATTACCTCCCTTCTCTACAACTGAAATTCCACTTACCCCTCGGCCATCTCTTCTGGATGTCCTAGTAGTGGTGCATCTCAGGCCCTCCTTCCTAAGACGTGTGAACCTCTAGAAACCATGCCTTCCTCAGGCCTGGGCTGAGGCACAGTCCATTCACAGTCACAGTTAGGTAAGGAATACCAAGAGACCTCAAAGCGTACCATCTGAGTTCCACACGTATGTATCCTGCCTCCCCCACTGTGGAACAGTAGCCCTACCTGCTCCTGCAGATCAAAGTCATGAGCCCTTATGAATCAGCTCCAGCAACACCAGCATGCCTAGCACGGCACCTGCAGCTGGGGCTACTTACTGATTGAGCTTCCAATAGTGTATGGTCTTTTCCCACTTGTCACCTAGTTTCTGTAGAAGCCAAGTCAGCTAATTACGAGGAGAGATGGTAGGCACAGCCACCCCTACATCCTTTAGATTGTCTTTAAATTTTATTTATTTATTTATTTATTTAGGTGGAAATACAGTTGATTTTCGCATATTGACTTTCGTTTCAGCAAACTCACTAAACTCACTTGCAGATTCCAAAAGTTTGCGAATTCTTTTGGATTTGTACATATATAATCATATCACCTGAGAATAACGACAGTTTTCCTTATTCTTGTGGGAGGCTTCTATGTTTTCCATCAATGCTATTGATGGAATTCCTTTATGGAATTCCTTTAATTATGTATTCTCTTAAAGTCATTTTACATTATCCCTTGGATTTCATTGTTAATTTCCTTGACGTCAATAAGCACTTTATATTTTGTTACATCATTTTATTGTATTTTACATTTTATTCTACACTTTCCCCCAAGTTTTTATTTTGAAAAATTTTAAACCTTCAAGAAAGTTTCACACAGTAATGCAAATTCCATGTATCTTTCACCTGGATTCACCGATTGTAATGTTTTGCCCCACTTCGTTTCCTACCTATATACTGTTACACACAAACTTTTTGGCTTTGGTTAAGCCATTTGAGATTTGTGGCTGATATCAAGGCAACTTACCCTAAATATTTCACCTTGTTCTTCTCCCAAACAAGGGCATCCTCCTACAAATCAATTATCACATTAGGAACATTTAGCATTAATTTATAATATTATCTAATATACAACTCATATGCAAATTTCCTAAATTGTGTCAATAATGTCCTTTATAGCCTTTTTTAAAAAATTCAGAATCCTATCAAGGATCCTGCAAAACATTTAGTTGTCACTTCTCTTTAGTCTTTTTTTTTTTAAGATTTTATTTATTTATTTATTTATTTATTTATTTATTTATTTATTTATTTGACAGAGAGAGACACAGTGAGAGATGGAACACAAACAGAGGGAGTGGGAGAGGGAGAAGCAGGCTTCCCGCAGAGCAAGGAGCCCGATGCGGGGCTCGATCCCATGACCCTGGGATCATGACCTGAGCCAAAGGCAGACACTTAATGACTGAACCACCCAGGCGCCCCCTGTTTAGTCTTTTTTAATCTAGAATATTTTCCTATTTTTTCCTCTTGTCACACTGACACTTTTGAAGAATCCAAGCCAGTTGGACATTTTGAAGAATGTCTTTCAATTTGAGTTTGTATAATTTTGCTCATGATTAAATTCAAATTAAATATTTTGACAGAAAAATTACATAGGTCATATACCCAGATTTATTTTCAAGTGTAAATCTAACCTGAAATAAACTCAACTTCATCATGATGCATTGCTTCATATAGAGAATATATGTAGAATTATATCTATATTCTTATACATGTATTATGTATTTTGTATTTTATTTTATATTTATATATATTCTATATATAGAATTTGAGAGAACTGTATATCTCAAATATATACATGTGCAAAAATCCTAAACTAAATTCTGGCAAACCAAACCTGTACTTATTAAAATTCAACAATGAGGGACGCCTGGATGGCTGAGTTGGTTAGTGTCTGCCTTCCACTCAGGTCATGATCCCAGGGCCCTGGAATCGAGTCCCAAATGGGGCTCCCTGCTCAGCGGGGGAGTCTGCTTCTCCCTCTCCCCCGCCTTCCCCCTGTTTATGCTCTGTCTCTGTCTCTCTCTCTCTCTCTCTGACAAATAAATAAAATCTTTAAAAAAAAAAAAATCCAGCAGTGCAGTAATGACTGGAATTTTTATCCCCTTCCTGTTCAATGCAGAGACTTTAGAATATTTTTATTTTGTTTATCTCTCTGAATGTTACTGTTTTATATTGTAAGTCCATAATTTTAGACATATATGTGTATATATGTATTAATGTTGTTTTATATATATACTTTTTGTTGTTCTTCATTTCTTCCTTCCCTCTGCAATTATTTTCCTTTTCCCTTGTAGAACACCCTTTTAATATTTCCTTTAGAGTGGGTCTTTGGTTCAGCTCCTTTGTTTGATCAATGGATAAACTGAAGGCCATAGATGTTAAGTGACTGAATGAAGTACAGTCTTTATAGGCCAAGCTGGGCTTGGCACCCAGATCACTCTGACTCTTAGGCCAGTGCTTTTTGCTCCACATCATTTTTAAATGTTGGGATCAGGGGCGCCTGGGTGACTTAGTCAGTTAAGCGTCTGCCTTTGGCTCGGGTCATGATCTCAGGGTCCTGGGATCAAGC